AGGAGTTAGTTTGGTGCACATGGTGATTGGCTGTCAGAGGAGGAGTAGGTCTCTACTACAGACACACAAACAAGCATGCATGTGTGCACATGCACAGCTAATTAGTTTAAGAAACGGTTTATATATTTTTTACAGCAGTGTTGCAACAACTATATGAGATTCTCCCATCTGTTATTAAGCTCTGTCATTGTCTTACTCTGGTTCTGCTTTTAAATCATCTGATTCATCAGAACCAGGTAGATCTTTATCAGGAGAACCATTGTCATTGACACCTTGAAATAAGCAGAACAGACACACATCTGTGTCATGGTGTCTGGGTTTAAGCTATTGAAGAGTGACACAACACTGGCACCACCAGGTCAGACTTCAGATTGCAACATGACACTCTATATTTTTTATCTACCAGACTTTTAATGTAAAAAAGCTTATGTTATTACATGTTATCACACATTGCTGAAGACAAATGGTTTGAGGAATACCAGGAGGTTGAATGCTTCATTGAAATTTTTTTTTTGACTTGCACAGAATGTAAGATAACCCCAGTATGTATTTCAGAGTTATGATGCTAAATAATAGCATTGTTTTAAATAATGTGACTTCTATATATACATGTATTTACTTTTTTTAAAAAGGGTCAGGACAGTGATGAAACTTACATAAATACAGTCACGATGAAACCTCTTCTTCAGGTTCAGAAGCACAGAGCTCTCACACACCTCTCTAAAAACATTAAACAAACAGGTTGAAACTGTGCACAGCTGCAGTGTGAAAGCTGTGTGTGTGTGTGAACTCACTCCAGCTGAGAGAGGTCCTCCACCTCATCCACCTCTACAGCTCTTTTGCTGCCAGGCATCACAACCTGAAAAAAGGCAGAGCATGAGCAGATATGAAAACAGAAGAGCCTTGCTCAGCACCCTCCATCTGAAAGGTAATCCCACGACCATTAACTTCAGACAACTCACTCCTTACCTTCTCCTCAGAGGAATAATCTAAGCTGGCAAACAATGAATGACATTAATTTTTCAAAAGTAAGTAAATGTTCTCCAGTGTCCTTCATTACTTTATGGTCAGTTTTGTTTTCCTGCTAATGGTCACCTCTGCTCATGAGCTTTCCACAGCAGGTAACAAG